AACACCCCACTCGGGAAACCCAACAGGACAGCGAGAGTCAGCAACCAGCCCAAGGTTCATGAGGGAGAAGACAATGTCCTGATAGGAAAGATCCCCAGCAGCTGTGTCTGGAAGGTTTCCCAGCCAAACAGTGGTCCATCAGGCTAGGCCAGAAACCCAACGGATTGGGAGGAGGACTGAGCAGCTGGCGTGCCTTGTCCTCCGTGTCACACCCAAGTGACGCAGGATCTCCACAGCCAGCTGGGGAGGATGGAGGTGAGACAAATGCAGCAGAACGAGTGCAAGAGATGGAAACGGATCTGTTTGTAACAACTCCTGTAAGATCTAGCACTGAAGAGGGGCTGTCCCCACACTCACACGTTACAGAAGCCCAGCGACTCCACCGAGTTGGACTCGGCCTCCTCACCCTCACCGGTGGGGGCCTTGGGGGCCACGCTCTCCATCTTGAACACGCACACCACCTGCATGGAAGGAGGCTGACTAGTCCCTGAGGGGAGGGGAAGGGGACCCCCAGTCGCACCAAGGTCCCCTTCCTTACCCGGGATCGAGCCTACACCCCCTGGACACCAAAGCCCGACCCCAAATCCTCGGCTCCTCGGAGCAAACAAGGTGGGAACTTCCTTCTACAAGCCCAGCGGGACCACCAGTAGCTGGGAGGAAGCAGTTGTGTTGGCCAAGGGCGCCTCCTGCTGGCTGCCGGTGGCCACCACAGGCTGCTCGGGGCCGGCAGAGCCCTGAACCACCCGGAGACACGGGCCCGTCCCCCAGGGCTCCCGGCTCTGCCCCCGCCCACACGGACCCACCTTGCCCGTGGCGGAGTTGACCAGCTTGGCGTGACAGTCCACAGAGCCCGTCATGATCAAACTGCCATCCTGGTTGCTGGCCACACACGTCAAGGGGTCCTGGTGGCCGTCCTGGCCTGGGGGGAGAGCAAGAGACACGTGAGCTCCACGCATCCTCCCCACGGAGACCCGGTGGGCCTCGAAGCCCACCTTCCTGCAGCCTCCACCTTGCCCGGGTCTGCTAGCAGCCTGGTGGCAAGGAGCAGCCACCTGTGGGGTCAGGGAAACCCAGTGCCAGGCTCCCTCTGGCAATCCCTGGCCTCGGAGGGTGACACCTCTCCGCCCCGGGAAGGGGTCAGAGCCTACTGGAAGGGGCCGTTCCCCAATTAGGGAGCACCCCAGGCGATTAACCTCTTCCCTACCTTTCAGGACATGCAGCGAGGTTCCCTGCTTCAGGTCCCAGATGCGCATGGTCCCATCCTCGTACCCCACCACCGCTCGCTTCCCTGGGTGAGACAGAGCCAGCGGATAGAGCCAGAGCTCCCCTCGTCCCTCCACCTCCCGCTCAGCACAGACTGGCAGAAGCAGGAGGGCAGATGGTGGCAGCGGGATCTGTCACAGAACTGGTGACATTCCCCACCCCGGACAGCCCCTGTGCCTCACCGTCAGGCAGGATCCTGCCACACGTGGCCGGGCACGCAGGGCCCTGGAAGGTTTTGCAGTCTCCACTGGGGATCTTCCACATCCAGGAGTTGCCATCAGCCGTGCCCGCCAGAAGGACGTGGGCTTGAGGGTGCCACTCCATCCACTGGGCAGAGAGAGGGACAGGCAGTGTCACGGGGGTGACATGTCCCCCCGCCACCCAGCTAAGTCCGGGCTGCCAGCCCACAAGCTCCCCACGGCACCAGGGGTCCCGCTGCTCACCTCCAAGTCCCCCACCTCGAAGGACCACACTTCTTCCTTGGCCTCCACCCGCCACACTTTGATAAGCCCAGACATGTCACCCGTGGCCACAAACACGGAGTCGTGACTGAAGCCAGCACAGGTGACCGAGTCCTTGTGTCCTAGAGACATCGGGGGACAGAGACTACTTAGGCCAAGCTACGGAGGATGGTCGGGAGCCCAGCTCCAGCAGAGCATCGGCTGGGGAAGAGCGTGTCCGGAGAGATGTGGCTGGGAGGGGACATGGCCGCTGACTCGGAGAGCCTCGAGCACCTCACCTGAGCATTCGAACAGGAGCTCTCCGTCGCTCACGCGCCACACAAAGGCCTTGTCGTCCTCCCCGCCCGTCACCGCCAGCGAGTTGGTCTTGGGGTCGAGGCTCACACAGAAAACAGAAGCTTCACGGAAGAGAAGAGAGAAGCTACGTGGCTCGGACGCCGCTCACGCCCCACCTGACATTCCCAGGGGATCCAAACCCCACGCAACACCAGGTCTGGGTGGGATGTCAGCGAGCTGAACTCCCAACCCAAACCAGTGGGAATCTATTCTTCCCGTGGGGGGAGAGCAGCACGGGCTGTCTGCTGAGCTCAGGGCAAGCCACCGTGGTAGGAGGCTCGAATGGCTTCTCTACCGGAGCGTAAGTTAGGAACGAGCAAAGCCCGAAGCATCACAGCCCCGAGTGGTGACGGCTGTCCCAGGAATGGCCGGGAGACGGCAGCCTGGCAAGGACCTGCTGCACCCCCTTAACTCTGGGGAAAGCCAGGGTGGGAGGGGGACCCCAGCTGCCGCTGCCCGTGCCCACCACTCACCTGAGTGGAGGGAGAACGTGACCTCGCTGTCGTCCTGCGCCTCCATGCCGTCCTCCACCCCCTCGTCGTCCTCCGTCTCCCAGGCCTCGGCGTCGGGCTCTTCCGCCCCCTCGTCATCAAAGTCCACGTCCTCCATCTCGTCGGCCAGGTCATCTGCAGAGGGCGAAGGTCAGGACGCAGCCGCGGCCTGCCCGGCTCGGCCCGTGCAGGGCAGGCGGCTGCGGGCACGGAGGCACCTCGGGGGTCCCCGGGGGACGGGGCAGCGGGGGGGACGCGC